CCTAAAGCAGAGTCCAGAATAGTTTTTGCATTCAAGTTAGGTCTGGGAGATTCGTTACGGGGGGAAGTCGATAATTTATTGGAAAATTCGTGAAAAATTAATGGTACTTAGTAGGGATTTTTTGAAGGTTGAGAATGATAGAGTAGACCCTAAAGCAGAGTCCAGAATAGTTTTTGCATTCAAGTTAGGTTTGGGAGATTCGTTACGGGGGGAAGTCGATAATTTATTGGAAAATTCGTGAAAAATTAATGGTACTTTGTAGGGATTTTTTGAAGGTTGAGAATGATAGAGTAGACCCTAAAGCTGAGTCCAGAATAGTTTTTGCATTCAAGTTAGGTCTGGGAGATTCGTTACGGGGGGAAGTCGATAATTTATTGGAAAATTCGTGAAAAATTAATGGTACTTTGTAGGGATTTTTTGAAGGTTGAGAATGATAGAGTAGACCCTAAAGCAGAGTCCAGAATAGTTTTTGCATTCAAGTTAGGTTTGGGAGATTCGTTACGGGGGGAAGTCGATAATTTATTGTTAAATTCGTGAAAAATTAATGGAACTTTGTAGGGATTTTTTGAAGGTTGAGAATGATAGAGTAGACCCTAAAGCTGAGTCCAGAATAGTTTTTGCATTCAAGTTAGGTCTGGGAGATTCGTTACGGGGGGAAGTCGATAATTTATTGGAAAATTCGTGAAAAATTAATGGTACTTTGTAGGGATTTTTTGAAGGTTGAGAATGATAGAGTAGACCCTAAAGCAGAGTCCAGAATAGTTTTTGCATTCAAGTTAGGTCTGGGAGATTCGTTACGGGGGGAAGTCGATAATTTATTGTTAAATTCGTGAAAAATTAATGGTACTTTGTAGGGATTTTTTGAAGGTTGAGAATGATAGAGTAGACACTAAAGCAGAGTCCAGAATAGTTTTTGCATTCAAGTTAGGTCTGGGAGATTCGTTACGGGGGGAAGTCGATAATTTATTGGAAAATTCGTGAAAAATTAATGATACCTTTGTAGGGATTTTTTGAAGGTTGAGAATGATAGAGTAGACCCTAAAGCAGAGTCCAGAATAGTTTTTTGCATTCAAGTTAGGTCTGGGAGATTCGTTACGGGGGAAAGTCGATAATTTATTGGAAAATTCGTGAAAAATTAATGGAACTTTGTAGGGATTTTTTGAAGGTTGAGAATGATAGAGTAGACCCTAAAGCTGAGTCCAGAATAGTTTTTGCATTCAAGTTAGGTCTGGGAGATTCGTTACGGGGGGAAGTCGATAATTTATTGTTAAATTCGTGAAAAATTAATGGTACTTTGTAGGGATTTTTTGAAGGTTGAGAATGATAGAGTAGACCCTAAAGCAGAGTCCAGAATAGTTTTTGCATTCAAGTTAGGTCTGGGAGATTCGTTACGGGGGAAAGTCGATAATTTATTGGAAAATTCGTGAAAAATTAATGGAACTTTGTAGGGATTTTTTGAAGGTTGAGAATGATAGAGTAGACCCTAAAGCAGAGTCCAGAATAGTTTTTGCATTCAAGTTAGGTCTGGGAGATTTGTTACGGGGGAAAGTCGATAATTTATTGGAAAATTCGTGAAAAATTAATGGAACTTTGTAGGGATTTTTTGAAGGTTGAGAATGATAGAGTAGACCCTAAAGCAGAGTCCAGAATAGTTTTTGCATTCAAGTTAGGTCTGGGAGATTCGTTACGGGGGGAAAGTCGATAATTTATTGGAAAATTCGTGAAAAATTAATGAAACTTTGTAGGGATTTTTTGAAGTTTGAAACTGATAGAGTTGACCCTAAAGCAGAGTCCAGAATAGTTTTTGCATTCAAGTTAGGTCTGGGAGATTCGTTTACGGGGGATGTCGATAATTTATTGGAAAATTCGTGAAAAATTAATGGTACTTTGTAGGGATATGGTCAACTTTGACAGCTGGCAAAGTCAAAAATTCGACAAGCAGGTTCAATATAAAAAAAAGGATTCCGCCACGCATAATATCTTTTCAAAACATATCAAGTCGCTGAAAAAAAAATTTGACACATATGACTGTCAAACCAAAAAATTATGACAAGCGTTGACAGCTGTCGAAATTTTCCGACGCCGATCGGTGGCCAACGTTGAATAATCGTTACGCACCGAGTTTGGTGGTCCTGGCTTGTAAGGTAAAGCGTGGGGAAAGGCAAACGACCCTATTTTATTTTATTCCGGTCGCATGAAAGATGTAAAAAAAAATACGCCTGGTGATTTGGAAGCACTTTAAAGAAATCTAAAGTGGGACGGATTCCATTTTTTGGAAACACCAATTTTGACAGCTGTCAACGTCAAAAAAGTGACAAGCAGGTAAGGTAGGATGACAGACGTCATCGGCAATTGAAAGCAATTTAAAAAATGACAGAGCGTATATCCGGTCGTTTCTTGGAAATTAGACATATGTCAAAAAATTACGTTTCGTGCTGTCACTCCGTCAGTTTTTGACGTATATCGACGGGAATTTTTATTTAGGGTTTTCGGGATCGGCGGAACGTTTTCCACTACTTTTTTTTTCGAGATTCGCAAATTAAAAAAAAAACTTTTTTGACGTTGACAGCTGTCACATTTTTTTCGACACAAACCGATAGTTGGCGACCCAGAACCGCCTTCTACCGGGGTTTGGGTGTCGTTGCTTTTATAGTCGAGCGGGGAAAAAGTCGGACATGTGTCAAATTTGACAGGTGACATCTGTCGATAAAGCCAAGGTGTTTTGCGACTAAAGTTCTATCCGAACGCATCTTCGAAATTTGACGTATGTCAAAGATGACGTTTCTCCTTGTCACGCCGTCAGTTTTTGACGTATGTCAATGTCAAATTTTTTTAAGGGGTTTCCGTGTCCGGGGAAACTTTTCCGACACTCAAATTTTCAATTTTCCGAGAAATGCAAAAATAACTTTTTTGACGTTGACAGCTGTCAAAAATTTTTGACACCGACAGGTCGGCCACGTTGAATAAACATACTCCACCGAGTTTGAGGTTTCCACCTTGTGAGGTAAAGCGTGGGGAAAGGCCGTTTACCCTATTGAACACACACCGGTCGCATGACAGCTGTCATCAAAATTTCGCCTGGTGTTTCCGAAACGCCTTAAAGAAATCTCGTGCTTTGCGGGGCCCTTTTTTTGAAATTCCTTCCGCCTGTCAAAAATTTGACATTGACAGATGGCTAAGTTGGCCATGGAATTTTTTTAGTGATTTTTCCGAATTCGCCTCGATGTTTTCTATCCGCCTATATAAGTTTTATCCGCCGTTTTCGAAGGAATCGATTACTCGATGGCACGGTTTATACTAACTTGAATGCAAAAACTATTTCTGGACTCAGCTTTAGGGTCTACTCTATCATTCTCAACCTTCAAAAAATCCCTACAAAGTACCATTAATTTTTCACGAATTTTCCAATAAATTATCGACTTCCCCCCGTAACGAATCTCCCAGACCTAACTTGAATGCAAAAACTATTCTGGACTCTGCTTTAGGGTCTACTCTATCATTCTCAACCTTCAAAAAATCCCTACAAAGTTCCATTAATTTTTCACGAATTTTCCAATAAATTATCGACTTTCCCCCGTAACGAATCTCCCAGACCTAACTTGAATGCAAAAACTATTCTGGACTCTGCTTTAGGGTCTACTCTATCATTCTCAACCTTCAAAAAATCCCTACAAAGTTCCATTAATTTTTCACGAATTTTCCAATAAATTATCGACTTTCCCCCGTAACGAATCTCCCAGACCTAACTTGAATGCAAAAACTATTCTGGACTCTGCTTTAGGGTCTACTCTATCATTCTCAACCTTCAAAAAATCCCTACAAAGTACCATTAATTTTTCACGAATTTAACAATAAATTATCGACTTCCCCCCGTAACGAATCTCCCAGACCTAACTTGAATGCAAAAACCATTCTGGACTCTGCTTTAGGGTCAACTCTATCAGTTTCAAACTTCAAAAAATCCCTACAAAGTTCCATTAATTTTTCACGAATTTTCCAATAAATTATCGACTTTCCCCCGTAACGAATCTCCCAGACCTAACTTGAATGCAAAAACTATTCTGGACTCTGCTTTAGGGTCAACTCTATCAGTTTCAAACTTCAAAAAATCCCTACAAAGTTCCATTAATTTTTCACGAATTTTCCAATAAATTATCGACTTTCCCCCGTAACGAATCTCCCAGACCTAACTTGAATGCAAAAA